CGCGCCGCGCCGCGTCAGTGGAACTTTTCAGAGGGTCGGATTTTGTCAAGCTTGCCCGTTTGTGTAGTCGCGTTGTGCCGTGAGGTTCCCCATACAACGCACCCATATAAACTTCTTCGCTTCAGATTTTTCTTTACTTTTTAACATCCATACCAATGTTTTAAAAGGCGAGGGTGTGAGGCGAGGCATTTTACCTCTGATGAGGCGAGGCGTAAGCCTTGAGACATGGGACGTAAGTCCCAGGATCTTTAAATTTTACTAATTTAAAAAATTTTAAGATAGTATAAAATTAAAAAAAAATTATAAAAATTATATTAAAATCACAAAATTATAACAAATAATCTATTTAAAATATTTATAAATTATAATTCAACTATGAATAATACGAAAAGGATGACATATATCATAATATGCAAATTAGATGCAACGTCGATACAATTCAAACATCAAAAGTAATGTATTCGATACTAAATCTGATATGTATCTCAAGGAGTAAAGAGTCTTAAAATAATTTTGGTATTATAATTTGATATTTTTAAATACTCCTTTTATTAATATACTTTCTATTTGAAAGAGAATTTATATAAAAATATAATCCACAATTTAAATATAATTCTCTAGCATCATTTATTTTTAAGTTTCAACAAGTTAATAAAGGGACACATAATTCACCATACTATATCATGATAACTAATTATTTGTAAATAGTTATTAGATAATATTGAGTTATTAAATTAATAAGTATTGTATCTCGTAAACGTAAAAAAAATTATTTAGGAAAAAAATTATAAAAAAAATTATGGATTATTATATATTAAAGACATAACAAAAGTTAATAAACAAATGCTTTTTAAATAAAAGATTTATTTAAAATTTACTATCATAGCAGTCTTAGTGGATAACGTGAAATACTTTTTCTTTTAATTATGACATAAAGTACTCTCAACTTAATGATTTAAGATTAAGAAAAAAGTAATTTTGAATAGTCAATGACTTATTAAGAAAATTTGAGGATTTACAAGGTTAGTTACACGCAGTTGCATAAAGTTTTATTAGGCGAGCCCAGTACGCTGGGTGTTGGGCGTGTCCGGGGCGTAACCCTCGACGGCTGAAGCATAAGTCTCATGGAACTAAGCCCCAAACATAAGCCCAAGGGCGTTTTACAAGTGCTCCGCCCCAGGGGAGTTCCAATTATGCCTTTTAAAATAGAGATCCATACTTGGCCCTTGAACCTCGAATGTTATCGATCTTTACTCTATGTCCTATCCTTCCTTGCGGATTCCTGGTTTCTTAAGGAGTAGCGGCCCCTCTTGACCGTTACATAGTTCTTCTACTCTAATCTCCGAGGTCGAAGGTCAGCTGACTGAGAAGTGAGTATTGATTCATGCAAAAATGCTCCTTTGAAGCTGGAGTAAGGAATTGTCCACCTCATCACCCCTAATTTAATTCCTTGAGCTTCTACTCAGACTTCAAAACTCCAAACTATTCATTTTAGCTTCAAACTTGCTTTCTATTACGGAATCACATCTTACAAGGCATAATACGCGTAATAAGTATAAATCATTGTCCATTCATTTCAAACATAAATAAAATACAGTAACTAGAGTGCAAAATGTAGCTAAAAACTAGTCTTTCTACTCTACCAACAAAATTCAAAATACAAACTACACATAATGAAAAGCATGAAATATCTTTTAATAAACTATTGCTATTACAATACAAAATCAAATTAGAATCTCAAATTTATACATATAAATGATGTCACATTAATTGGTGGTAGGGGTGTACATAGGTCGGGTTGGTTCGAATTTTACAATTACCAAACCAAACCAATTGTATCGGGTTATTAAATCTAAAGACCAAACCAAATCAATAAAACTCGAGTTTTTCACTCTCGGTTTTTCTCGGGTTTTCGGGTTATTCGGATTTTTTCGGATTTTTTTTTCGGTAAAATCTTTGTAGAACAAACATATAAATTATGCTCAAAATATTTCTTTAATCCTAGTAAGATACAACTATATAAAGTATTTTTCAAGAAAATAATACGAAATATGAGAAGTATCATGACATTATCCTAAAATATTCTACAATAAAGACAATAAAATTATGCAATGTGAATATTGCTAATTAAAAAGCCATAATAAAAATAAGCATAATCTAAAAGTATTAAGTCATGCTAAAATAAGTAGACTAATAAGAGAGTATTAATTACATGACTAACCGCTAAAAAAAAATAGGTTATGCATTTTTATCTAAATTATTGCAAAACAAAAAATAGATATTCAATACATTCCATGAATTGAATGTCTTTTGTTAGCATTAGTATTGATTTGATTTTGGTTTAGCCTTTTGTTAGCATTATTTAATTTACGTAAAAATTGTACGGGGCGCCCTATTTGGTCTCCCCCATTTAACTTATACCAATTTTTTAAAAATGTTTTAACATGTACCCAGTTTTTAAACAATTTCAGCCCCTTTCTCCTCCTCTTCTCCTCCTTCGTTTTTTCTTCTTCTTTTATTAACAACTGAAAGACACTATGATTAATTCTCTAATACTACCATCATTCCATATGTTTGACCAATTAGGCTCAAACTTCCCAGCCTTACTTTCGAACCCAGCACTTCATTAGCTAATCGGGCAGCACTTTATAAAGGCAATTTGATGACCGGAAACCACCTCTCCCACCATTCTTTTGAGTCTATTGCTAGTAATTTTGCTGCAATTCTAATATCGCTTTACCTTCAATGATTTCACTGTCAATTTCATAGTCAATCAATACAGTTGATCCTTTTGTATGAACCGGCAATCTTCTGAAAGTATTTAGTGTTTCACCCTCTTTGAGTCATAGACACCTAAATTTTTGCCTTCATAACACTTCTTCTGCCTTTGCTAGTTGCTGATTTCTGCAAGTTTAGTGATCTGGGTTTTTGCTCTTATGATTGAGGCTTCCCCTTTTATGTTTGTTGTGCTGGCTGTAAATAGGCTAAAATTTTCGCCAGTTACAAACAAAAATTTCGTCAGTTACAAAACAAAAACTTCAGCTCTAGAAATGAAGTTAGACAGTTACAAAACAAAAACCTTCTCCAGTTACAAAAACAAAAACTTCAGTCCCGTCTACTAGAATGCCGAAGTTTTACGTGATTGTCTTTGCTACTTCAACCCCGTATATTAAATTTACGCGAAAAAGTGGGTACGCTTGCAATTTTTTTTGCAAAGCGGGCACAAGTTAAAACGTGACCCAAAAAGCGGGTATAGATGCAAATGCCACTTAATTTACTAATATTAATGACTATAAAACTTATTGGAACATTCAAAAGTTCTAAGTCCAACCTTGAAATAATACCTTAAAAGATAAAATTATGAAAAAATTTAAGAAATATTTATAAATTACATCACAATAGGTATATTTATATATTAAATATATTTAAAATTTCTGTACNTATTTAAGTTACTAACATTTATGGACTATAAAACTTATTGGAGCATCCAAAAATTATAAGTCCAAGCTTGAAATAAAATTATGAAAAAACTTAAGAAATATTTATAAACTACACTATAATAAATATTTTTATATATTAAATATATTTAAAAATTCTATACATGTAATGTCGGGTTGGTTTGGTTTCAGTTTGACTTTCTTTAGTTAAAACCAAACCAAACCAATTATGGTCGGTTTTTTTTCCAACACCAAACCAAATCAAACCAAACCATAGTCGGGTTATTTTCCGGTTTGACTTGGATTATCGGATTGGTGCGGTTTGTCGGTTTCCTTTGTACAACTGGTGGTATCGCCTGAAATCTAAACCATTGATTTACTACATTGATGGTACTCACCCTAAAAATGTGCTATACAGTTGATGAGGTCTCATTATTAATTTTCTTTTAAGAAAAAGATCAATCTAATTTTCCGCACATCTCAGGAGATAACTTAGAGATAGAACACCCTTCGTTTTATTTTACAGAGTATACAAATTAATTCACGCTCTACTTTTTTAAAATTAAATATATCACCCACTAAATCATTACTAAAATTGATGGAGGAAAATTTCTTCTTTATATTAGATCTTTTCGAAAATAAAATTCGAGTTATTTGTGGAATGCAACTTCATCTAAAGTTATTATATAGATTCTTATAATTTAAATGAGATTACTATAATAATGAATTCCGTTAGCATGGCAGTATCAATTCTTCTTTATTGAAAAGTCATGACAATATTTATGCTAAAAGGACTAGGAGATGCTATTTTGCAATATTTAGCACACTGAAGTTGGCACAGTGGTTTCTAGTCCTAGATGATAAAGAAAAGGGAAGTGTTATATTTTCAGGATTGAGATTCGTAAAATATGTCACTAGTAGATTGTTCATAATAATTTTACTAATTTGCCTATAAATTTCATTTCTAAAAGGTCTAATATGTAAGTCTTATAATTTAAATGAACTACTTCGATAATGAACTCCGTTAATATCGAAATACTAACTTTTTGTTGTAAAAATCCCAAAAATAAGGACACCGAACAATTCTTATGATTAAAACTTATTTATACACAATATAAGTATTATTTTCCATATATACAACTTATCATTTAATCAGGATTAAGTTAGAACACCTAATGGGAGTAAGTATTACATATATTATCTCGCTAAAGTTGGCACTTTTTCTAATCATATACATAGATTATACATTGACTATACATAATTATACATATATAATACATAAATTATTCATATATTATACTTCAACTGGTTATTTTTAGTTTAAGTAATTGGATGAACGGTTATTTGGGTTAATTCTTCTTTTATGAATCTGCCTATCAGCCTACGGATTTAATTCCTAAATATCCGAATATTGTAAAACAAATAGTATTGACCAAAATTTTAGTGCATTTTTCTTTTCTTCTTTTGAAAAGCTAAAAATGGCATATCCATGAAATTTAATGTAAAATCAGGTTAAATTCTTGAAGTCACACAACTCTCCAAAAATCCCATATAGTGACCTCACCAAAATATTTACATTTACAGCTCCCAAAATCCAACTCCTAATAGGAAAAAAGGTGCGACAGTCACCCACTGTTTTGTTCTCTTTGGTTTTCCCTCTTTGTACTTGTTTTGTTGGGTAGAGTATTTTTCTTGTTATTCAATACCTACCAGCCGGCTTCTTAATTCCTATTTTTTCTTTAATCGAATATCGAATTTCATAATTTCTATTTCTTTGTTGAACCCATTAGCATGCCGAATCAGAATTGTCGCAAATTCGATGAAAAGCTGTTTCAACTGATCCATTGATCAGGTGAGTTGAATTTTCCATTGTCTTTATATATGTGTGATCATGGGTTCAATTCAGATTCTCGTTTTTTCTTCTTTTAAATATATAAATATGGGTATTCGGAATTTTAGTGAATTCTGGATTAGATTTTAAGGATTGATTAATTGGGTTCTGTTTTTGGATTGAAATGCCAACAAATTGATGTATTGAGAATTGGTATGTAAATGGGGATTGATTCAGATTTTCATCTGTTGGTTTTATTTTTTAGTTATTTGTTTTAATGGTGAATTGGTTGAGGTGATGACTGTTGACCCAGTTATGTTGACTTTGGGTCACCCGTGGAAATTCTTTTTATTAATCTGGTTTTGTCTGTAGCTTTTACATTAGTACAAAAAGTAGATTTTCATTAAGATTTTAATCCGCTTGCTGATGTTGGGTTAATTTAATTCCATTTTAACATCTAAGGTTCATTCTGTGGATTCAATATTTGTTTATAACATTCTTGCACTGCCATTTATCCTGAAGATTCAGATTGTAGAAGATGGCGACGTTAATTGCGAAACAACGACCATTGAGCAGTCAGAACGCCCCAAGAATGAGAAATCCGTCTAAGGTTTTTAGGAAGAGAAATTTTATCCTAAATAATGATGAAGAAAAACATGGAAAGGACAATGCAGCATCACTGCTCAACGTTACAGAGTTCCCTAATAAGAAACCAAAGCTTTGTTCTGATACTGTCGTCCCCCGTGGCAGAAGAACTATGGAAGAGCAAGTTGGTGTTGTAATCAGGAAAGGGGTACCGGAGGATGCACGTTTATCGGGTGCATTGGGAGAGAGAATAAAAACAGCGCAAAAGCCAAAGAAGAACATGATCACATCGCATCAGAGGACCAAGACAATAGCTACTGGAAAGGAATCTGATGACTCGCGTAGTAGGATGCATCATCGTTCAGCAAAAAAGAAGGAACCAAGTTTTATAAGTTGGGATGACTTCATCAGTGATGACGAAGAAGAGGAGGAGTGCAAAGAGGAAGAAGATGAAGAGCGTTGTTCAGGACCCTTAACGAAATCTCAGATGCCACTTGATGAAGAGTATTGTCCAGGACCCTTAACGAGATCTCAGATGCCACTTGATGAAGCTTTGAATAGTTTAAGAAACTCAGAAAAGTTTTGGAGAACTTCCAAGCAAGAAAAAGTTCTTAAAAATGGACCTATGAGAAATAAAAGGAATGATAAAGTGAAAGATGAGCCTCTCGAATGCAGGGACAGACTTAAACTTTCTACCTCCACAAAAAGCATTCTTCTAAGTGGAAATCCGCAGAGGAAAGGGATGCCTGATAAAGTAAATCTAGAACAATCTCTAGGAACTTCAAGCAAGAAGATGGCTCAAAAAGGAGATAATACAATGAACAAGGTGGAATGTGGAACTGAAGAAAAATGGGGCGCGTGCAAGAAAAAACCAAGTTTGTCCAAGGTTGGAAAAAAAATGCCGGGGACTCAAGAAATTGAAGGCTCAAGGAATAAAAGGGTGCCTGCTAAATTGAATGGAGAAAAATGTCTAGGAACGTCAAGCAAGAAGAAGATTCCTAAAACGATGGACAAGGTGGATGAAAGTGAAGACAAGTGGGATGTGTGCAAGGAAAAGCCAAGTCTGTCCAAGGATGGAAAAAAGACGCTGGAAAATCATGAAAAAGATGCAGAGAATAAAAGGATATCAGTAAGACGTGTTGCTGCCTCATTCAAGAGATACGGTCATGATTATTATGTCGGTGAGTGGGAAGATGATACTGAGGGGTATGAGGTTTTGCCAATAAGCAATGGACATCATATACCAAGTAACACAAGAAGCCAGAGAATTGATGTTTCACATGATCTGAAACCAAATAATAGTCCAAAAGATATAATAAAAAATTCAGAAAAGTTGTCTGCTTGCAGTTCATCACCTTCCTCCTCGTCGTCCTCTGGTTCAACAATTTCAAGAAGTGGAATAGATAGATCTACAAACATGAAGGTCAAGCTCTTTTTATTCATTAATCTTGTAGATTAAATGGAATTTCTTCTCCTTTTCTTTTGAACTCTTTCAGATGATGACACTTTTTTGTTTAATCATATGCAGGTAAATTTTCAGCCTCCAAAGTGTCATCAATGCAGAAGAAGTGATAGAAGAACTGTTGTTCCTTGTATGAAGTGTAAGGAGAAATTATACTGTATCCAGTGCATCAGGGAATGGTAAATGTCCAATGTGTATCTCTTATCTTGGTGATTGTTCAAATGCTAAAAGATTTCCTTTTAGTATTTCATGAAATTTTAACATCACTTTAAGCTTCCTGCTAATTATTTTTGATGAACAGGTATCCTGAATTGGAAGAAGAGGAAGTTTCAGAGGTTTGTCCATATTGTCGTGGAAAATGTAATTGCAACCTGTGCTTACACTCAAGCGGCACACTTAAGGTTTGTCTTTTCCTTAAATCAACTAAAATGAGCTTGTCGCTTTATCTTCTAATTACGGCTGAATATTTCTTTCCTTGAAGACATCAAGAAGGGATCTCACTGATCGTGAAAAGATTGAGCATTTGCACTATTTGATTATCGAACTCCTCCCCTTTCTGAAAGAAATTCATCAGGAACAAATCCAGGAAATAGAGATGGAGTCTTCTATTCGTGGTATGTCTCTTAGTTTAAAAAAACAAAACATTTGAGTCGGACGAATTGTACATTGATACAGTTTTTATCACAGGGGTATCTTCATCTTCAGTTGAAATTAAACAGTCACTTTATCAAAATGATGAGCGAGTTTACTGGTAATATACTTTTTTCCTGCTATTATGAAATGTTATGTTTGCAGTCCTTATTTTTGGAGGTTTTATACTTAATGATTTTATTGACCTTGGAGCAGCAACAACTGTTCAACTTCAATAATCGATCTTCATCGAAGCTGCCCAAATTGCTCGTATGAGCTCTGTCTAAGTTGCTGCCAAGAGCTGCGGGAAGGCAGATTTCCGGGAAATAGTGATGAAGCAGTTTTCCAGTATTTAGACAGAGGCTATGATTACATGCACGGTGGAGATCTACTGCATGAAAATTTCCATAATATGAAAATTTCACAGGACCAGAAAAAACCAATTACTTGGATTGCTAATTATGATGGTAATATCATGTGTGCTCCTGTAGAAATGGGTGGATGTGGAAATTGTATTTTAGATCTGAAGCATCTGTTGCCGAAAAACTGGATCTCAACTTTGCAAGCAAAAGCGGAAAGAATTCTGATCCAATGCAATTTTGCCCAGATAATTTCTCAGCCAATTTGCACAACTGATGACCCTGAACTGTTACACAAAGCGGCTTCTAGGGTTGGTTCAGATGATAACTGCTTGTATTCCCCTACTGCAAAGGACACTATGAAGGATGACGCACTTTTACACTTTCGCAGACACTGGGCCAAGGGTGAACCGGTGATAGTACGAGATGTTCTTGAGCACACAAGCGGTTTAAGCTGGGAACCAATGGTTATGTGGCGTGCATTATGTGAGAGCACTGATTCAAAGATCCTTACAAGTATGTCAGAAGTAAAGGCTATCGACTGCCTGGCTGGTTGTCAGGTTCTTTCTCATATCTTCTGCATTTTCTACCTCGTGCACAACATTAGTACTTACCATATTCCGCTTAATCCTTTCCTTTCCTTTTAGTAATAAGTATTTTTTCTTCATATTAAAATAGTTGCTTCTTGAATAGCCTCAACTTGTTATTAGAATATAACTATCTGCCATTGTGCTAATGATTAAATTATGTAAAACTTTTTCAGGTTGAAATCAATACTCGAAAGTTTTTTAAAGGCTATACAGAGGGCAGAACGTACAAAAATCTCTGGCCTGAAATGCTCAAACTTAAAGACTGGCCACCATCTGACAAGTTTGAGGATCTCTTGCCTCGCCACTGTGATGAGTTTATCAGTGCTTTGCCATTCCAGGAGTACACAGATCCAAGGATAGGTATTCTGAATCTTGCCGTTAAATTACCAACAGGTGTCTTAAAACCTGACTTGGGTCCAAAGACATACATTGCGTATGGTATGACGAAAGAACTTGGAAGAGGGGATTCGGTGACAAAGCTTCACTGCGATATGTCAGATGCGGTATGGTTTCAACAGGACGTTTAGTTCCTTCATGTGTCTTTTTCACTTTATTTTCATATCATTACCACCCCTTTGATTTATGTATTCTCTAGATCTAATTATCACGCGGTCTGTCCGTGCTGGCTTGTGGAATAGCACTGCTTAATACTTCAAAATCACAATTTGGAGGATATTCCTTCAGATTACTTCCAAAATCTGGAACCTCGTCGACAAGGACCTTGGCAAGGTGTCTGAAAAGTATTAAGTAGCTGTTTAAAAATGGGAACGCAAACTGACATTTAATCCAAAATATAGCAACTTATTCAGCCAATCTTCTGCCTTATGTTGTCTAGTGAGACTCATTAACCTCATGGCTACTCTATAATAAGTTTGATATGAGAATGACCTACAGTACATGCTGATCCATATCCTACAATCCAGTTTTATGTTTAATCTCACATTATTAGGAGCCTTCTCACTTCTCCCAGTTCTGGATTGTGTTAATGCATTACCTGCTATTAATTCCCTTTGTAACTTTTTCCATGCTTATTTTATGACAAGCTGATGTTTTTGAAATTCGAATCGCCCAGATAAATATTTTGACACACACAGCAGAGATGGCTGTAAGTGATGAGCAGCAGTCTGCAATTGAGAGTTTGAAACAGAAGCATAGAGCTCAAGATGAAAGAGAGTGCCTCGAGCATGATGGCAACGAATATCCTATGAAGATATCTAGTGGGATCAGAAGGGAGGAGAAAACACCTGAAACGACTGGAGGTGCCTTGTGGGATATCTTCAGAAGGGAAGACGTACCCAAGTTGAAGGAGTATCTTTTAAAGCATGCAAAGGAATTTAGGCACACTTACTGTTGTCCTGTGGATCAGGTTTTTCACCCGATCCACGATCAAACCTTCTACTTAACTTTGGAGCACAAGAGAAAACTAAAGGAAGAATTTGGTTAGTCATTACCTTGCTCTTTATCTTTGCTCGAGAATCAGAGAAAACATGTTCGTAAATAAACATGTCAATTTTTAATATTTTAGGGATTGAGCCTTGGACCTTTGAGCAAAGACTCGGAGAGGCAGTTTTCATTCCTGCAGGATGCCCTCACCAAGTGCGTAATCTCAAGGTAAAAATTCATATTTCCCTACTAGTTTTATTTTCCGTGAAAATCCAGAAGTTCCTCAAGTAACCATATCGTTTTCAACTTTCCAGTCGTGTACCAAAGTTGCTGCCGATTTTGTTTCTCCTGAAAACATTCAAGAATGCCTCCGCCTCACAGCTGAATTTAGGAAATTGCCAAGAGGCCACAAGGTCAGAGAAGACAAACTAGAGGTACCATATCAAAATGCTTTATCTTAATCTGGCAGCGTTAAGCCTCCATTGTGTACTAACTTATTTCATCCTTTGATGGAACAGATTAAGAAAATGATTATTCATGCAATCAACCAAGTTGTCACAGATTTGGAGCAGCTTACATATATAGTTTAGAGAATTAGCAGTATAACCTTTTGCTTAACAATTTTCTTTAGCAGCAGTAGCAATCTGTCAACAGTTGGTATTGCTGCTGCTAATGGCCTCGGGTGTTCTTTTAGCTGTTAGGCCATGGACAATTGTGATACACATTTCTTGCAGCTTAGGTCCTCTTCATCATTGTTGCATGTAGAAGATAAATGTTAAAGGGACATTCTTTTTTCTATCAAACTCCTGCAATAAAGGCAGCTTATCCGGAATAGTGAAGGGCAGCATAGTATAACCAAATTTTTAAACCTGTATATAACTGTTTTATGGAATATAATATGAAATTTCATGCAAATACACTCTCTGGTAGTGCTCAAGGTATCTCTTTTAGGAAACCACGTGCATATTACCATTGCTTATAGAAACTTAAATTATGAAAAATACTCACAAGTTGTATTGACTTTTAATATGGTCATGTATTAGAACTATCTCATCAAATACTCTCAGCGTTCTGAATCAACAATAACAACCCAGTAAAATTTCACAAGTGGGGTCTGGGAAGGGTAGAGTGTACGCGGACCTTACCCCTATCCCAAGAGTTAGAAAGGCTGTTTCCGATAAACCCTCGGCTCATCGTTTGGAATCAACGTCGCGCTTTCAAAATAATGAAAACGACCATTGAATAGCTATTAGTCAATCAGAATTATATGGATTGTTGCTATAACTCAATTACAGTTATTTTAGTGAAAAAAGCACTGGCTAGTCAGTTTTTCGGATTGGTAATTGAAAAATAACCAACGTTTGTAAAGTAATTGAAAAATAGTCATTATTTTGCTGCAACACATAAAGTTCCAGCATAATATACTGGAGATTGGTGCATCTGTGTATGAACTTCCGGCATATTATGTTGGAACTCCAACACACAGAAAGTTCCAGCATAATATATTGGAGATTGGAACACCTATGTATGAACTTCCAGCATATTATGCTGGACCAGTATATTATACTGCAACTCCAGTATATTATGCTGAAATATTTAACTTAAATTACAAAAAGTACTCACATGTTGTATTGGTGTTTTATTTGGTCATGTTTTAGAACTATCTCATCAAATACTCTCAGAGTTCTGAATCAACGTTGCGTTTTCTAAATAATGAAAACGTCCATTGAATTGCTATTAGTCAATTAGAAATATATGGATTTGTTGCTATAACTCAATTACAGTTATTTTATCCATAGTAAGTGCCTATTATGTTAACGAGAGGCTAGAGGTTTGGAGACACCGCGGCTCCCCTTTTTGAATACCCCCCTCACTCCCTCCGGAGTGAGTTCTTTTCTGCGGGAT